CGCAGACAAACAGACTCAAGGACAGATTTTACAACAGGGCAATGCTACGAGCTGATTGGCTACTTCGTTGGACTTTTTGGGGGAAAAATAATAATGTGCAATAAACATTCACTTACTGTTTTTGCCCGTACCTTTCTTGCACTTTTTTTAAAGCCACTTTAAAGTCCACTGTGTTGTGTTTTGTTGTGTTGATTTGTGCTGATATGGGACAGTTTCCAATTTCACTGAACTATTGTAGTAAGTAAGACTATGCAATGACAAAAAAAAGAGTCATCTTATCTTATGAGGTCGTCACCTGAAATGGTTTTCCAACAGTCTTGAAGGAGTTCCCAGAAATGCTGAGCTCTTGTTGGCACTTTTGCCTTCACTCTGCAGTCCCTTTCATCCCAAACCATCTCCATTGGGTTTAGGTCAGGTGACTGTGGAGGCCGGGCAGCACTCCATCACTCTCCTTCTTGGTCAAATAGCCCTCACACATCCTGGAGGTGAAGAATAAATGATGGTCCAACTAAACACAAACTGGATGCGATGACATGTTGCTGCAGGATGCTGTGGTACCCATGCTGGTTCAGTGTGCCTCCAGTTTTGAATAAATCCTCAACAGTGTCAGCAGCAAAGCACCCCCACACCATCACACCTCCTCAGTGCTTCATGTTGGGAACCATGGGTGTAGAGATCATCTGGTCACTTTTTTGGCGTCGCACAAAGACACGATCGGTGGAATCAAAGATCTCAAATTTGGACCAGACCAAAGCACAGATTTCCACTGGTCTAAAGTCCATTCCTCGTGTTTCTTGGCCCAAACAAATCTCTTCTGCTTGTTGCTTTTCCTTAGGTCATTGAATAGAAAGTGATATTTTTCAGTGTTTCAATTTCACGCAGTCTCCTCTGAACAGTTGATGTAAAGATGTGTCTGCTAGTGGAACTCTGTGTGCCATTGATCTGTGCTCTAGTCTGAGGTGCTGTTACCTCAGCACCAGAAGTGACTCTTGGTCTTCCTTTCCTGGGGCGGTCCTCATGTGAGCCACTTTTATTGTAGCTCTTGATGGTTTTTGTGACTGTACTTGGAGACACATTCAAAGTTTTTGCAATTTTTCAGACTGACTGTCATTTCATAATATGAATTCTAGCATTTGTCAAATAGAGCTGTCAGCTGTGTACCAACCTGACTTCTGCACAACACAACTGATGGTCCCAACCCCATTAGGAAGGCAAGAAACTCAACAAATGAACCCTGACAAGCCACAGCTGTGAAGTGAAAACCATTTCAGGGGACTGCATCATGAAGCTCATTGAGAGAAGACCAAGGGTTTGCAGCCATAGACCCGATATGTGTCATCCTTACATTAAGACCAGATGAGGCTTCGGCAAACAATATCTGGTTCATCCAGGTCAGCTGCATCTCAGGTCCTGTGTTATTGGATTGTTTCCTATTTCTGGAGGACATGACTTTCAGTTATTGTTCATCTTTAGGCCTGCCATTTCTTCTTTTATCATTGACTTGTTCAGATTCCTCAGT